AAATGGCCGTTTGTGCCATAAAAATGGTCATTTGTGCCAAGTTCTTGTTACAGACAAACAGACAGACGGACATACAGACACACGTGAATTACGGTTTCTAGACCCTAGTCTTTCAGTCTAGGGAATTTCTATATCTTGAAGAAAATTGCTGTTAATATCAGGTGAAGTCTAATTTTGCTTTGCTTATTAATAAAAATGAATATTTTCAAGTAGTCGAGTGAGAAAAAAACTAATTAAAGGCGGGCAGCATGACCAGTCTGAAATATCCGCAATGGCTGCTGAACCAGTCCGAAACATCTTCCATATCCCTTAAGGAAAAGAATACAAAGATTATCGGCAGCTTTAAAGTCATGTGACTATTTTTTCACATGATATCATTGAACTTAAAATAAGCATTGTAATTCGTTCAATTTAAGAGTTAATATAGGTTATACAAATTCATTTTAGTTTTAATTTAAAAAAAAAATTAATTTAAAATAAAATTATTATATTTTATCCAATTGAAATAATTATTAATTTGTTTTATACTTGATTCTTTTTGTATTTATTAGTGTTCACTAAAACTGTATGAGCAAGTTTCTTTTTTTAATTTAAAATGGTCTTATCTGAGCTTCTGTGGTTAATTTTGTACTTGGATAAAGTTCTTTGAATCTATATGAAAATTTGAAAAAACATTTCTCTAGACTTTAGAGAAATTTAATAACTTTTAGACAATTCAGTACGTATGAGTTTATAATTTTCTGTAATCGAAAAGATAAATCTAGCCTGACAGTTTATGTCATATTTCGATTTCGATTTGTTCGGTTTAGTCCAATTTATCTTGCTGTAGCGTGTCCTGTGAACCGTTTTTTCGATCTTTAGTTCTTAACTTTAAATTGTTTTCTGATGGACATCATCTCTAATCTACATACCCAATCTTTCTCTGGGAAAAGACAAGATTATGTGAGCTATAACGATTGTAAATGTAGGGATAACGATGGGTTCCAAGGACGCAGTAGACCTCTAACTAGTCCTCGATAAGGGCTTGTTGAGGTTGTAACTATGCATGTGAGATCTGTACGTTTTGAAGGAAATCTCAACATTTATCGTATCACTAGTTCACTTGAAAAAAAAATATATATTGATTTGCTTTGAATATGAACATGAGATAAATAAAGAGTAAAATGTGTGAAAACGTAGCTGTAACTGTGATATCTGTGTATGTGTGAAGAAAAAAGTCATTCGCAAATCTTCACCTATCCGATCCCTAATTTTTCATAAAAATCTTTGAACTTTCATCAGCTATTTGGACCAGGATATTTGTGCTACAATCTCTACGAAGTTGCAATTTTGTTAAAAGTATATTGAATTATAAAACGTAGGACGTAGTATAGCGTCCGACTTGTGCTTCACCCACGTGCTTTCTTTTCATTCTCTGCTCATTTAATGCACAAGATAGCAACTATGACGATTCGCTACTCTTTTTATGTGCGTATACCTGAATGAAAGTATCTTAGGCTCTTCATTGCATTTTTATTTATTTTGATTTTGTAACACGTGTTCTTTTCATGAGTACAGTATATATGCTGCAGTGGTCGAAAGAAAATAAATATGAATTTTCTTGTAAATTTCGTGTCTTGCTTTTTTTGCATCATTTTTAGGAAGATATGGCTAGCAGCAACAGTATTGAATCGCTCATAGGAACATGGGATCATGTAAATACTACAAATGATCTGTATTATTCTCATGTCACCATCCTATCGTGTTGCATTCTATTCTTACAGGTTCGCAGTGAAAATTTGGATGACTTCTTGAAAGAGGTGGGTGTTCCTATGCTTATTCGTATGGTAGCAAAACGTTCGAATCCACGTGTAGTAATCAGTAAAAACGATGATGTCTGGACAATACGTACTGAGACAGCATTAAAAACTCAAACCACTAGTTTTACTCCTGGTATCGAATTTACAGATACCACTCCTGGTGGACAGGAAGTGCAGGTGAATTTTCTTGTGTCGCATGTCTACTATGACATGCTTGCATCTACATTGATTCTTCTTTTCTTCTAAATGCTTCTTTTTAGACGCTCATTCTTTTTGAAAATGGAAAGTGGATTCAGAAAATAACCGACACAACGGTAAAGGAAACGGTTGTAACGCGTGTTGTTGATGATCAAGGACTACAACAAGTGGTAAGTGAGTGCTGTTTTAATCATATTTTTAATACTTTATTATAGGAAATGACTTGTGGTCCGGTCAAAGCGTGTCGTTGGTTCAAGCGGGTGAAATAATAAATGCAAACTAAAACCGATAAACAGTCGTTTTGCTCTTTATGTTATTTGAATCGTCACAGAGGTTTCCATTCAGATTCTTTTCATATTAATCTTTTTTTCGCAATAATGTGATTCATGTTTCAATTCTCCCCTTCTCCCTCCCCCAAGCCAAGAATACACTCTCATGTTCTACATCTATGTCTACAATTTTTAACTGCTATTGGCTTAGTTCGAGATATCAAAAATATATTGTATTGTACCGTAAAAAAAAACAATTTAGCAATGAGCATTTGAGTTTGGGTGTCAGTCTAGTTAAGAAGAGTGTTTATTGCGTGTGGGTGTGGGTGGATTTATGTGTGAATTTAGATAATCATTCCAACGCTTACACCCTAATTTGTTGGGTCATTTTTGAAATGCAGATGCAGCATATATGACATTACAACTCATAAAATGGTAGGAACCGATGCTATATTTCGATCGAGTAGATTATTAAATGTGATAAAATGTGGGAGTAAAACGTTGAAAAATAATGCAATCTTCTATCAGACAATCAACTATATAAACTTCCACTCTACGGCGATTCATTAATTACATTTTTTTTCTCGAAAAATCAGTTTTGATTTGAAAAAATCAAGATACTCACTTGGCATAGCAGCACTGAACGAACCACTCGTCGTCGATGTTGCATTCATAAAAAAAAGTGCTATTAAAGTTGTGAAATGCCCTATCTATAAAGTATTGAGACAGTCTTATCATGAGTAAACTTCGTACTTAGATAATTTGTCTGATTGAAAACAATACTGCCTGCTTACTAGTTGTAATTTCCGTCCTTTGAGAACTGCTAACTATCGTCTTTGATGTCGTGCTGAACGTTGTTATTCCTTATGAAAATAAGAAATACCAAATTACTTTTCACACATACATCATAAATGATTTTGAGCTATAAACTTTATCAACTACTGAATCAACAAGAGTAGGGATGTGACGATGACGGTGGTTACCAACCTCGCAGTTATACAGTGAACCGTCAGCCGGGTGTGGAATGTGGGTGGGTGTGGGGTGTGAGTATGAGGGTATGGGTGTGGGTGTGGCTTCTGTGTACACTTACATCCGCACATCCACAACAACATTTGAACAGAATCTTCTCTAAACAAGGAAGTGACAGCATTTTAAACTATACAAGAATTTAAAACAGTTCATTGAAAAGAATTATCGTTGCCTGAGAAAAAACAATCAGTGGTACGCAGTAATTAAAAAGGGTGTGGGTAATTAGTGATTCAGAAAAGTAACATCAACATCCTCAGTTTAATAAAATGAGCATTATATTGACTATTCAATGTCATTCATTCACCTCCATATGTTCTAGGTCTTTTATTGTAGGATTGAATGCCACAATAATTATCATGAGAGCTTTACAGCGTTTATTAGAATACTTCCGACATGAGATGAAAGAGATGCATGCGCTCCGTTTCGATTTTCTACTAATTTTCTAATGAATGCTAAAGGATTAGAATGGAATCGGCATTGATGAAGTTGTAAAAGTTGGCGATGCTCCAAATTTTCCACACATCCATCTACAGCAATCCAACCTTTCTCGAAAGTATCGTCTTCGATTATCGTTCGAGGTTTAGGACATATGCCAAGGCACTGACAATAAGTTTTTTGTTGATGAATAGTTTCGAAAAAGAGAGTTCCATTAAAAACAAATAATTCCACCAACCATTCTGTCGGAATAGGAAAAGCTGCAGCACCACGATAAGGTGAAATTGATGGAGGAATCATTAACGTTGGTGTGTTGACTATAACTGATTGATCTCGTTTAGTACGTGGTAGTAATAAACGTAATGTTGTAGTGAACAGTTCATTAGATGATTGCTTACGATAAAGAAATTGTAATTGACCCATTAGCCAATTAACTTCAAAAGGACTTATGAAAATGACATGTTGATTCCGATAAACAATAATCCATCGTGGAGGACGTAGAAATGAATCTAATGATTCTCCTCGTGCTTGAATCACACGTTTGAATTCATTTGTGATCCAAAGATTTTGTTGCCAACAACGCGGTTGACATTCATGATAGAACGTAGGGTGTGGGTGTGGGTGCGTGGGGTGTGGGTGTGGGTGTGGGGTGTGGGTGTGTGAGTGTGGATGTGGGTGGGTGTGGGTGTGGGTTTGGACATGAATGGGTGTTGGTGTGGGTACGGATGCGTATTAGTGTACTTTTTATCAAAACTCACACCCACACCCACACCCCACACACTAATATCTGATTTTTAGCTTGAGTAATTATTAGCCAATTTTTATGAATTTTAGCATCATCTAGCTTAATTTCGATATAAACTGTAAGAAGCAGTTTTGATGATGGTGAGTGTGGATGTGGGTTTAGGTGGATGAACAGAAGATCTACGCCGACGTCCACACCCACACCCACACCCCAGACTCACACCCACGTCCATACCCCGAATAGCGAAGAGGTTTATATTTACTAAAAAATATATTTTGTTCGAATCTCGTCCCTGGAAAGACTATTACATGCACATTATATGGAGTCCAATACTAAAATGCGTGTGCATACGCGACTTTCTATTGTGTGTCCCACAATAATGTGTTTTCTTAGACTTTATGTTGCATCAGAATATTTGATGACGACACACACAGTAAGTAAATAGGTCGACAATACCCCTGTAGAATAAATGGTTTTTTTTTTGATTCTGTATACAAACGAAAACTTAATTTCTCCTTCTATTGCTATGAAACAAATGACACACTGGGAAAGAAACGTTATCAGTAACATGTAGTCCGACCCATTCGTTTTTACAACGAAAAGGTAGTCGAAAAATTCTCCACATGGCCCACAATATGCAATCGTTGAGATGTCCAATTACACACAACGTATTTCAAGATCCTGTCATATGTTCGGATGGTCACACTTATGAACGACAAGCGATTACAGAATGGCTTCGATTACACAAAAAAAGTCCAATGACACAACAACCGATGAATATAACAACGTCACAAACGAATTCCATTGTGAAGAATATAATCGATGAGTTAAATATGGGATTAAGATCATCACAGAATCAACATAGATTCAAGCTTGATGTCGATATTAAAAGAACCGCTCCAAGGCCCTTGTTTCAAGCATTTGGAAAATTTATTTATGAGGTCGAATGGATTAAAAAAAAAGGTCCACAGATCATCCTACTGAAAATTGATGGTGCTAAAGCCACTCGTGAAGCGTCATTCTATGTCCAATTAAGTTGTCATCCATACATCGTTCGAACATTTGGCGTTGTCGACAGTAATCCTGGTTCGTTGATGCTACTCCAAGAACGTGCACCAATGGGTGATCTTGCGGAACTATTACGAGAGAACCATTTTAAGCCTAATGAAAAAGCCTTATGTGAAATATTCATACAATTATGTGAGGCACTAAGTTTTCTTTCTTATAATTCCATTGTACATGGCGATCTGGCATGTCGCAATGTTCTTGTCTTCCAAATGAATGCAACTGAGCCAAGCAGCAACTTGGTCAAGTTGACCGACTTCGGCTTAACTCGAGCAAGTTCAATTTTCTCGGTAGTCGATAGTTCAGCATCATCAACGATGACAGTTGTGCCTGTACGATATGCAGCACCTGAGATCCTTGCAAGAATGGATGGCTTGAGCTATTCAGAAAAGTCCGACGTCTATACCATGGGTGTTTTGATGTGGGAAGCATGTTCTCAAGGTGTATTACCCTATTCATCTGCGGAAAGAGATCAAGATGTTCGAAATCGGAAACTGAATGACGAGAGATTAAATCAACCTCTATCATGCAGTCCTCATTTGTGGACTATTATCAATCAATGCTGGCATCGACAACCTCAAGATCGTCCCGATTTTAGATCATTGAAGCGTTTAATTTCTGTCATTTTGTTCACATCAGGGTCAAAGTAAACCATTCACACAATTCATTATGATAAACAAAAACCTTATTTTTGTTTTAGAGTGCAATCAGTATCGACAAATAACACTACAATAGTATGTACTGAATAGTATTTGAGAAGTTCATTACCGTAGAATAATTGTATCGAAATCTGTTTCTACAGAATTCTTTTTGCCGTACAACGGTACAGAGATGTGCGGGGCATTGAATTTTGATGCCCCGCAGGACCCGCCCCGTAGCGCTCGCAAACACACCTCGCCCATTCCCGTAGAAAATTTTTCTCAGCATCCCCCGCCCCGCTCGCCCACCGATTTTTCTACGGGCCCCGCCTCGTGCCCTGTGATGTTCGAAAAACGTTTTTATTCGCAATTTAGTTTATTTTCAGTAGTTTATGCTACATCAGTTGATAAATCATGTAACGGGGAATTTTAAATATTTTTATATGGAACGATTCTGTTGTGATAGAGAGTAATTCTGATCATACAACGTGTTTTAATATTCAATTTCTAGAATCTTCTGCTAGAAAAAAAACAATTTTTTTTAGAATGGGAGCAATCAACTCTCTCTCCTAAATCCGCCAATGAAATCATATAATTTGATCATTGTTATTGGTAAACGAGAATAAATTCTTAATATTCATTCTAAAATAAAATAAATTATGTTTTATCTTTTCGCTCTTTTATAGAAACGAATAATCAAACTTCGATAATCAAAGTTCAGTATGAGAAAAGGTAAAAAAAGGAAGAAACGAAGAGCAAGTGAGCTTGTAGTTAGTAGAATGAAAATAAGTAACTAATCAATAGATGCTTTCTACTGAAAATCTAGAATAATGATATCTATCCGTACTTTTTCACAGTCTTCGTCGGGTCCCGAAAAAACACTTTACCCGCTCGAAGCTCCACTCTGTTTTTGTTTTTTCTCACGCCCTTCGGATCGCCCGTGTGTCGAACGAAACCTATGCCCGCCCGCCCGCCACCACGTGGACCCGCGGGACGAAACCCGTGGATCGCACATCTCTGCAACGGTACACAACAAAAAGAACAGCATGACATCACCACGTGCTTCTGATCAACAATTTCGCGACGAAATTAATCTTCACTGTGACCGGGTTATTATTCTTTATAATTTAAAAATGCGCATCGACTTTCTTAGCCCTAAATAATTTCTTTTATAGAGAACTGAGAGTTCCACTCGTTCCATCAAATGTTCTTTCTGTCATGAAAGTCTTCCATCAGAGGCAATGCGTGATCATTTGCTTATTTGTGGTAATAAGACAGAAAAATGTTTAAATTGTGATCGGTTCATTCGGCGAGCTGTATTTGCATACCATCAACAGAATAACTGTGTAGATATTAACGAATCTGAAACATCACCTATGGAAACCAGTGCTCCACAACGACCATCACTATCGCGTGCCTCCCATGAAGAACCTGTGCGTAGTCATGATGATAACGTGTTTAGCCGTCGAAAGAAGGATGCCATATTCAGTTCCATGATGTTACCCCCACGTATGCTTTCTCAATTCAATAGATAATTTCATAGAAATATGTGATTTGTTCTCAAGGACGTTCGCAAACAATCACAACATGCGAATTTTGTAATGGTCAAATAGAACAAGCTATTTACGCAGTACATCAGGTACGGGATCGAATATGATTTCAATATTGTTAATAATCAGCTCGGTTTTGGACGTCACTTTTCTAGTTGCATTGCTCTCGAAATCCAGTGATTAACAATCAGAGACTAGATCAAATGTTCGCGTCGCGGACTTCAAGTTCGTATATTATATCCCTCTTACTTTTTATTAGAATTTTCTAAAACCTTGTTCTATACAGATCGCCAAAGAAAAACGAAGCAGCCTTTACAGAACACAACAATGAACGATTGATTTATGTTTGTTTATACGGTGAAAACATTTTAATATGAATAAGAGAATTATAGACACCGTTTTAATAATTTTATTAAAATAATGAGACGTTTCGTTATGAACTCATAACATCATCAGTCAGAAAATGAAATGGGTGGGTGTGGGTGTATGTGTAGGTGTGAGTGTGGGTGTGGGTGTGGGTGTGGGTGTGGGGGTGGGTGGGGGTGTGGGGTCTGGGGGTGACGTCGGGGAACTGAATGTGGCAGCGTTCTGTCGACAG